GGCGGGGCTGAGGCGGAATAGACCGCGCTTCTGGTGGGGTAGGCAAGCGAAGGCCCTGCGTGCGGGGCCCTGCCCAGACAGCCGTCCCGGAATCCCAAGAAACTGTATTTTTCCACCCACGCAGCCATCCGTCAGTTCTTTGATGCGTTCCTTGTTCCACCTGTGCTTCCTCCCTCGCCCCCAGCTTTGGAGAACTTCATTGCCTTCCACCCACTGTTCACTCGTCTTTTTGCCTTTTCATCCATCCGTCTACTCCTCCGTCCGTCATGCCATGTCTTTTCCATCTCTCCATTCAGACTTCCACCCGTTCGTCAGTCTAGCTTTTTTCCCACCCATCTTTCCGCCTGTCCATTCAACCGTTCATTCGCCCAGTTCATCCCGTGTATCTTTCTTTCCATAAATTAGTCTACGCTTCTCTTTCCTTCCCGCCCATGTCTGTGCCCCAACCAACCCCATCATCCCACGTTAAATGGGTGCTTCTTTGGGTGCCGGCTATCCCCCTGCGATGGGGACCGAGATGGATCACACTATCCCTGGAAAACTCATGTTCAAGTGGTCTGGCAGAGGGACAAGCACGTGTCCTACAGCTGGCTGGGCTGCGACAGGGCAAGAGTGAGCAGGGGGTGATGATTATCTTGGTCTGACGAGGAGACCCGAAAGGAACCTATAGGAGCATCCTCTGCCACACAAATGTGGGGAAGAGAAATGCGTTTCCCATGCTGGCACATGCCTTGGGCTAGATACCTTGTGTAATCTTCACAACTCTCTCTCAGTCCAATTTTAGAGACAGGAAAACAGGTTCAGAGAGATGAAAAGAGGTCCCGAGTGTGGTGAGAAATGGATATGGGGTCGACCCTGAGTTTTAATTTCACCAGAGAGAGAAACACACACAGAGAGAAGGAAAGTGAGAAAGCAAGCCACCAAGACCAGGACTCCAACCATGGTTGGCCATGTGGGAGTGTCCAGCACCTTAACCACTAACACCTGCTGGTCCCCAGCCCTACGTTTTAAAACTTGATTTTGCCACTTTCTTGCTGTCTATAAGGTTGTTTCTGCTTTCATAGATGGAAAATGGTATATGTTTATAGTTGTGACATTGTGAGGCTTTTTCCTAACAAGGTATATGCAAAATGCTGAGCATGGTCCCACTTCCCAAGTTTGTCTCTCATCCATCTTTCTACAAAGAACAGCTCTTCCTTTTCTACCAGCAGGGCCAGAGAACTCATTGCCCAGTTCCAGCTACTGGGATTGTCTTGCAAGGAGAAACATAGTGTATGAAGCAACTGTTATTGGGTGGATTGTTTCCCCCACAAAATTCACATATCAGAGTCCCAAACCCCAGTACCTCAGAATGTAACTTTATTTGGAAATAGAGTCATTGTAGATATAATTAGTTAAGATGAAGCATAGTGGAGCAGGGTAGACCTCCTACTCCAGCAATATATGAGCATTCCAGTAGCTCCATATCTTGACATTGTCAGGTTTTTTCTTTATAACCACCCTAGTGGGCATACAAATTATGGCTTTAATTTGCATTTTCTTCATAGGGAAAACTATCATATACTTTTTCATTGTCCATTTGTGGTTGAGTCTTTTGCCTATTTTATTTTTTAAAGAATTGTTTAATATTAATGTTTTTTCAAAAATGTCCTATAGGGCATGTGTGCTCACCAGAGAGAGAGAGAGAGAGAGAGAAAGAGGGAAAGTGAAAAAGCAAGCCAAGTCCAGGACTCAGACCATAGTTGGTCATGTGGGAGTCTAGTTCCTTAACCACCATACCACCCACTGGCCTCTCCTTTGCCAATTTTTTAAAACTTGGAAAGTTTATATTTTAAAAAATGGATTTGTACTTCATTGTGTGTTCTGGATATGATTCTTTTAACAAAACTTTATTCACAAAAAAATTACACACAGCAATGATCACTTCAAACAGTTACAGTCATCTTCATCATATTAATGAAATAAAAGCTGTCCCTTTCATTTCTTTTATGAAATGTCCTCAGATAGCATATATATGACACATTCATTTTATATGTACACAGCAGGGCTGTGCTCAGAAGACCAGCCCGATTTTCGCATGTTTGAGCCGAACATTTTGCTCTGGACTGGGTTCCAGAGTGGCCTTTAGCTCCGTACGGTAGAGCAGGGGTGCAGGGTAGTGAGGATCACTTGTTTCTTCTTTCCATAAGAAGGGCTGACAGTGAATCTGCATTGGCCTTTGAGGATCAGGATTGTGGCGAGCACAGAGAGGATCAGGGTAGAAGCAAGGTATTGGGCCAGTTTCCAGAGCTGGGTTCCCAGAACTCAGCTGGGTGCTGTTTGTGTCTGCCATGTGGCAGGTTCTGGGGATGCGCAGATGGACAGGAGAACACTTCATCCTGAGGGCGCTCACATCCAAGGAGAAGAATGAGATAAGCAGGCTAGGAATCATGATATGGAATGCGAGGTGCAGTAAGAGGTATAGCTGACTAGGATGCTATGAGAGGAAGGCTGGAGGCTCCCAGCTCTAAATGGGCCCAGGACATCTTCACAGTGGAGCTGATGTCAATGGAGTTGTGCATTGATGGACGAGCAGGACTCACCAGGCAGAGTGTGACAAGAAGGACGTTCAGGAAGGGGGATGGAGGCAGGTCTTCCCAGCGAGTGACAACCTTGGACCTGGAATATAGGATGTGTGGGGAGAAGGCAGAGTCAGATAGACCCAGGGATGGCCCAATACACAAAGAACAGCTTCCAGGGATCCTACTTTCTGGGATTCCCATTTCCTATGGACAACCTGTGGGTTACTGCCTTCCACGTCAGCCCACTCTCAGGGCCAAGTGTGCTCGGTGAGTGGTTCTTGGTAGGATGGCCTTTCCATTTAGAGGAGCCACTATTTCTGATTCCTCCCTTCCATCACTACCGCTCACAAAATCTAGCATGCTGCCTGGCCTTTAGTGGGTGCTCAATAGGCGGGGAGTCCGTCTCGTTCCCTTACCTGAGAACACTTCTTAAAAAAAGACCAACCTTTGGTTCCACGTTGTCTTTCTTCTGGAATTGAGATCTGGTGGGTAGGAGATGAAGAAAATGGCCTCCTCAGAGTCCAGACCTCTGGGCCTGGCCATGAGAAGCAGGGTGGGAGCTCTTGGAGCATAGGCACCATCACCAGGGTGGGCCCATCTGAAGGGGTCCAGGTCTAGTTGTGCAGGAGCCACGTGGCAGGTGGGAGGGGCTGCTTGGAGGACCTACCTGAAGGACTGGGCCTGTAAGAGGAATCTCCTGGCCTTGGTGACCTCCTGGGCCAGTCTTCTTAAATCATCTCCTTCAAACTGTGGCAACTCAGGGTCCTCAAAAAGGGGAATAAGGGACCAGCAGATGGCATAATGGTTACATCAATGGACTCCCATGTAGTCAACTGCAGTTTGAGTCCTGGACCCTGCAGCTTAAAACTCACCAGGTACGTGTGCATGTGTGCCCAACATCCCGAGAGGAGAAGGGACTGTGGTATGGCCATCCCCCGGGGGTGATTTCTTATTTTCTCTCTGTCTCTCTGGCAAGCGAACATACCCTATAGCAGAAATCTCTCTTAAAAAAGGGGCTGGGGGAATGAGATGGGACCAGCAGCTGTCATGGTGGTTAAAGTGCTGAACTTTTACATGGCTGACCATAGTTCAAGTCCCAGACCCAGCAGCTTGAAAATTATACTGGGCGCCTGTGTTTGTGTGTGTGTGTGTGTGTGTGTATGTGTGTGTGTGTGTGCTTAAAATCCCAGGAAGAGAATAGAGGAGAAGGGATTGCATTGTGGCCATCTTCCCTGGAGGTATAATTTCTCACTTTCTTTCTCACTGTTTCTGTCTCTTTCTCTTTAGTGAGTTCATGCACCCTATGGTAAAAATCTTAAAAAGAATAGAATGGGGAATAAGTGTGACATTTAACCTGTTAAAAGACTAGATGGGACCTGAAAGCCCATAATCTTCCAAAGGAAAATGTTAGTAGTAGTTAAATGCAGCTTCCCACCCAGGATAGGAAACCTTGTGGACTTCAGCTGATAAGTCTGTAGTGACGGGAAGCTCACCGCCTATGAAAGCATTCATTCTGAAATGGATACTTTAAAATGTCTATTTGTGGGGGCCAGCAGGCGGCATGGTGGTTAAGGTGCTCGACTCCCACATGGCTGACTGTAGTTAGAGTCCTGGACCCAGCAGCTTGAAAATCACACTGGTTATGTGTGTGTGTGCATGCCCAAAATCCCAGGAGGAAAATGGAGGAGAAGGAATGCAGAGTGGTTATCCCTCCTGGGGGCTGATTTCTCATCTTCCCTCTCTCTGTCTCTCTCTAGTGAGCACATGTTCCCTATGGCAAACATCTAAAAAAAAAAAGTCTATTTGTGTAGGGAGAGAGTGGTGGCAAGCCAAGGTGGCCTCAACTTCAGTGAAGCTGGCACCTGTCTGGGGAACAGAAATGGCATTGGTTTGTTATCTATCGTGCCGCTGTTCAGTAAAACATCTTCAGCCTTTTCTACATTTCTTCTACTAAAATGGAGCTTCGGGACCAGCAGACTGCATAATGGTTACATTGCTGGACTTGCACATAGTCAATTGTGGTTTGAGTCCTGGACCCAGCGGCTTAAAACTCCTATCAGGCACACACGCATGTGTGCCCAAAGTCCTGAGAGAATGGAGAAGGGATTGTAGCATCCCATAGAGGGGTGATTTCTCACTTTTGTTGCTATGTCTCTATGGCAAGCGCACATACCCTATAGCAAAAAAAAAAAAAAAAAAAAAAAAAATCTCAAAACGGAGCCCCAACGAAAAAAAAAAAAAAAATCTCAAAATGGAGCTCCACAGGCATGCTTTTTTCTTTTTTCCTTTTATGTGAACTAGAAAAACTCTAGAGCCTGGTCTTAAAAACACACATTTTTACACTTAACAGCTTACAAGAAAAAGATGAAGCTGTCCCTTTTCCTTGGCAGTAGAAGCAGGGTGATCCCATTCTGCATACAACAGGTATTCAAAGAATCTGCTATGATAAGGTTATTAAATGAGTAACCTTCACGATATCATTGTTTGTTTTCTTGTGTAATAAGGACACTTGGGGGAACATTCATTACTTTTTCCAACTTGTTCTTTTCTCTGTTTTATTTGTAATACTTGTTCATGTAAGAGTCCCTGAACAGGGTCTGCAGATGGTGCAGCAGTTTCATCACTAGACTCCCACATGGCCAGCCACGGTTCAGGTCCCAGACCCAGTGGCTTCAAAATCATGCCAGGCACAGTGCGTACATGCCCAAGATCCCAGGAGGAGAATGGAGGAGAAGGGATTGTAGCATGGCCATCCCCCCGCGCCCCCGGTTTGTTGGTGATTTTTCACTTTCCCTTTCACCGTGCCTGTCTCTCTCTCTCCAGGGAGCATGCACACCATCTTTAAAAAACTTTAAAAAAACCTCTTTAAAAAAAAAAATCACCGAATAAAAGAGCCATATAAAACCACCCAGGTGGCAACAATTATGCCACGTCCTGTGAAAGTTACACTTAATCTTCAAAAATAATTCTGGAATTCTTTTTTTTTTTTTTAATTGCCAGAGGGTGTATATATTTGTTAGAGAGAGGGAGGTGGAGAGAGTGGGAGAGGGAGAAGCACCCTCCAATGAGGTGGGTCATGCCACAATCCTTTCTCTTTTATTTCTCCATCCAGCCAGGATTTGGGTCCTGCACATGGACCTGGCATGCTTTTCAAGCTTCTGGGCAGGGATTCAAACCACAGTCAGCCACGGGGGATCTGGGTCTCTTGACCACTAGGCTAGGGAACCAGCCCTGAAATGTGGAATTCTGGTTGGTTGTCTTGATCCTTTGTTGTCCTGGAAATGTTACCAATGACAATATTGAATCCCCAAAAGGTGTAAATATGTCCCCTTTTTTTTTTTTTTCTTTAATCATATGGAAGGAGGATCACTGGAACTTTGGACCTTACTAGATTTACCACTTAGTGGATAACCCATGACTTTACTAGCTCTATTACGTATCAGATAAAATGAACATCTGTGTTTCAGTGACATGAACACAGGAAGACAGAAACACGGTGAGATTAAAGCATTGAGGTTAAGGGCGCTGGTGTCTTGGGCTCCACCTTTACCACTTGCTCTGACGTTAGGTATATTCCTAACAAGCTGGTTTGTTCATCTAAGAGGGTATAATAATGGCCAGGAGAGGACCAGATGGCAGTGCAGCAGTGAAATGCAATGCTCTGCGAGGCATTCACATGCGGGAAGGTTCCCAAGTCAAGCCCAAGACCTCCCTGAATTTGCTGAGCTGGCTGAAGGCTGGGTCTGAATTGTGGCATCAGAGTCCCATCAGGAGTATTGTCTCTGTCTCTCTTGTTCATGGAAGAAATTTTAGGGTCTAGCAGGTGGTGTGGTGGTTAAGGCACTGGACTTCCAAATGCCCGGCTGTGGTTCGAGTCCTGGACTTGGTGGCTTGCTTTCTCACTTTCCCTTTCTCTCTCTCTCTCTGGTAAAATTAAAAAAATAGTAATAATAAATAAAATTAGATAGATAATTCTAAAAAAAGAACATATTTAAAAGTATTCATTTTAATTTTGCTTATTATTACCAGTAGTATTTTCAAATTTGCTGTAGGGCATGAGCACTCACTAGAAAGAGAGAGTGAGAGAGAGACAAAGTGAGAAAGCAAGCCACCAGGTCCAGAACTTGAATCACAGTTGGCCATATGGGAATCCAGTCCTTCAACCACCTCTTAGCCCCAAAAAATAAATTTAAAAAATTACCAAAAGTAGTGGTCAGGAGGAGTAAAAGAAGTGAATCTATGCAAAGCAATGTACCTGCACATAGCGAGTGCTCAACAAATGTAAAGTGGTCTGTTGGTAAATAATACCCACAAGCCTGCTTCTGTCCCAACCTTGAGGGGAGTTGACTTGAAAGCAGAGTAGCAGTGAAACACAACCCTTTTAGTCAATACTTTATCTCCTAAGAGCAGCAGAGATCCCTTTAGCTAGGAGGACAAGCCCCGCCTGTTGAGGTTTTATGGACAGACCTCGCACTCAGTAGCTCACAGCCTACCTTTTCATTGATGAAGCCTTTGGTCAACAGGCCGTGAATTCTGAAGAGCGTGTCATCACCAACAGGGCAGTGGTAGCGCCCCCCAGTGAAGGAAGCCAGCTTCCTCAAGAACTCATCCGCTGGCCTAGTGGGGAGGAACAGAGGACTGGGGGAGGCAGACTGACCTGTGGGTTATCATGGCCACCTATGAGACTTACGAGGGCTCTCCTGGCAATGGGCCTTGGTTTGTGCCATGGAGACCAGAGTCGGCATCACCAGGAACGCTTTCCCAGACACATATGGGCATCTGCTGCTACTGCTGCTCCAGTGAAGGACACTCACCCTGTGAGTATCACAGTCAGCCTGGACTCCCTCGAAGCACCCAGAGCACACGCCTGCCCTGTTCCTTCACTGGACAACTGCCCAGTGCCTACTGTGTATTTGGCTTGTAAGGGAACTTTACCTAAGCTCATGACTTAAACAGAGGTAAAATATGTATCTAAGTAACTAGTTTTGCTAATAATAATGCCCTCCCCCCAAGGGGCTGAGTCTCTTGTCTATCACATATTCTTCTCCAGTGATTATTTGTATTTTATTCACTTTTGAAATGATATAGTGACCATGTTTGTACGAGAGAGAAACACTCCCAAGAAGGGTCTGTGCTGTGACCGCCTTTCCCCAGCCTTCCAGCTCCTCTGCATCTTGGGCACCCACATGCGTGCCTGGTATGTTTTCAGGCAGACTCAGGGAACCGAATCCTCGCTCAACGTGTGGCTTCCAGCACTGCCATCCAGTGCACTACAGACCATGCCACCTAGACTGGGCCTGTGCTTATAACAATAACCATAATGATGTTAAACATTAGTCTATTATGATATCCTCCCTAGATATCTACAAATATGTTCCCAAGAAATATCAAGAAGGAGGATGGGATGTGACTACGGGATTAGTGCAAATTGTCTCCATGCTGGAGAAAGTCAGAGGAAGAAGCCCATTGACAGGCAAACTGGGTGGGGAGAGGAGCTTTCCCACTGTGGGGTAATATCTGCTTGGGGCCCTTTATGAAAACAATGCATCTTCCAAGTCTGGTGTATCGGGCTAGGGCCCAGGAGAGACCAGTGTCTCAGTCCCTGGACTGGGCCAGGCACTCAGACCTCCCTCCTTAGCTACATGGCCACAGGAAAAGAATAGACAGAAGATGCCTTATTGCCCACCTGTCTGAGCAGTTCAAGGAGATGGTGTGGATTTTCACATCTCTTTTCTCCTTGAGTCTCTGCACTTCATTCAGAACAAGGCTGCAACTTGTGTCTGGCCTCCCATCAGTCAGGAGGTACAGTCCTTCCAGGTGGTGAAAACTGAAAGCTTTCTGAAAAAGCACAGGAAGGGTATCAGGCTCAGGGAAGGGGGCTCACCTGAAAGGACAAAAACTAATTGCCTGAGGATGGTCTCTGCTGTCCCCAGGGAATGTGTGTCTGATTGGATGCTACTGACTTGCTGATTAAGACTGGGGCACATGTAATGGTTACATCGTTGGACTCCCACATAGACGACCACAGTTCGAATCCTGGACCCAGCAACTTAAAACTCACACTGGGTGTGTATGTGTGTGCATACAAGGTCCCAGGAGAATGGAGAAGGGACTGTGACATGGCCATCCCCCTAGGGGGGTGATTTCTCACTCTCTGTGTCTCTGTCTCTTTGGCAAATGCATGCACTCTGTAGCAAAAATCTCTCAAAAAAAGCAAAAAAGCAAAAAAACAAAACAAAAACAAAAGCAAAGAAAGACTGTGGCACAGAGGAACACAGTGCCCCACAAGGCTTGAAGCCACATGGCTGACTGCAGATTGGGGTCCCCGGGTGAGCCTGAGAACATACAGGGTATATGGCACATGTGCCCAAGGCCCCGGCGAGCTGGGGAGAAGGGACTGCGTCATGATGAAACTCTGCTGAGGGTGATGCTTTCGCTCCCTTGTCTCTCCCCACCCTCATGTGCACTCACTAATTAAAAAAATAATAATTAAAAAAAAAAAGAGAGAGAGACTCCCCTTTAAGCCTAAGACAGACCAAGGAAACTGCTGAGGCTTTGGAGGAAGGCCATGGCCCAGTTCCTGGCTGGCTTACGCCAAGCAAGACACTTAACCCCACTGAGCCCGTGTCTTCACCTATGAAGTGTGCACACCGAGAATCCTTTCTCACTGGGTTGCTGAGAAAATGAAATAATATCACACTTTGTAAATTCTGAAGTGCCCTTTATACCCCTGCTCCTGAAGCGTAGGGGTAGGGGCTGACAGCGTCTTTATTTTGCTGCAGAGTTGGGCTCTGTGGAACTTGCCAGCAATGCCTGCAAGACTGAGGTGCCCCCATGAGCCTGCAGGTGGGTCACCCATTGCATAGCCTCATGACATGCTGCATCCGTGGTCTCTACCAGAGTGTCCTGCCACGGCTGAAGGCCCTCTGCAAAGCCGAGCAGGTTAAAACTGGGGAGGAGAAAAAGAGGAGGGAGGGAGGGAGGGAGAGAGAGAGGGAGAGAGAGGGGGAGAGAGAGAGAGAGAGAGAGATTGGTTAGAATACTCGAGTCTGTGCTGAATTCTGGTGAAGTCACCTCCTTGAGGCCTGTTCACACCTACTAGTGAAGACCCCTGCAGGGAAACCCATGGCCGCTTGGGGAGAGGGCTGTGGGCACCTGAGAATGAGAGGGTACACACTGAAGATTCTGGATAGAAACATTTAAATTGCAGCTCAGCCACTGACTGGTTATGGAACCATGGGCAAATGAACCTCAGTTCTAGCTTTCTTTTCTGAAAAATGGGGATATAAGAGCTTTACTTCACAGGGTCATTGCGCAGACTGATAAAATCACGCACGTTAAGTGCTTGGCAGACAGAAAGTGCTCAGTAAATGTTAAGTATTATTACTATCAAGGCAAGAATGAATCCCAGCCAAGAACCCAAGTCCCTTGTTGTCCCCTTAGGGTCAACACTTCTGGGTAGAAAGAACGAACAACTCCCCCAGTTAAAAATCAAATTCAGCTGGCCCAGCAGGTGGCATGGAGGATCCAGCCACTGGATGCCACAGGACTGACATCAAGGTTTGAGTACTGGACCCCACGGCTTGAAAATCACACAGGGCACATGCGTGTGTGCGCCCAAAATTCCTACAGGAGAATGGAGGAGAGAAGATTAAGTAGCATGACCATCCCTGCTGGGGGGATGCTTTCTCACTCCCTCCAATCCCTGTCTTTCTCTGGGGAGCACATGTGCCCTATAGCAAAAAATAAATAAATAAATAAAAATCAAGTTCAGCTAAAAGCCACAGTCCAAAGCCACAGGGTGGTTCCTTTTCTGTGCTGTGATTGCCCCTGGGCCTGGGATGGATTTCTAAAAACTGCTTTCCTTCTGCAGCAGGGCTTGAAACATCAGTCTTCCTACTCGAATAAGCTGTTCGGGAGAGCATTTTAGAGCTCTCCAGGCCTGCTGGACCTGGGAGGAGGGAGTGTGCTTGGCCAGGGAAGCCCCAGGAGCTGCTCCCCTGATCACTCTGACTCATGGCACCCCACCCTGCCCCTACCTGTCACAGTGCTTCCTGAGCTGTTCCCAAATCAGCAGGATCAGCCCAGTCTTCACCTGCTGCAGGTGGGGGCCCATGGACCCCGATGTGTCCACCAGGATGCACACTCTGCTCTCCAAAATGGCGCCAAACAGTCTGCGGCTCCCTGCTCCAAGGGGCGGTGGGGCAGAAACAGGAAAGAAAGGAGGGGTCGACTCTCCTCCTCGCTCTTTCCTTACAGCTACCAAATACAAAGTCTTGCAATACCTGTAGCCTGCCTGATGGTTGGTCAGAAGTCACCCCCCTGAGGATGGCCGCTAAGGTAGAGGGCTCAGTCGTCTGAGGGCAGAGCAGTCAGTGGTGGGGCCTTCAGTGATCAAGATTTCAGTTCTGGCTTTGCAGTAATAGTTTGTACAGGTAATTGTCACCTCCCTGGCTTGAGTTTCTGCATCCCTCAAATTAAGTGACTATGGATCTAGCAGATGGTGTTACGTTGCTGGATTTGCATGTAGTCAACTGCAGTTGGAGTCTCAGACCCGCTGGCTTAAAACTCATGGCAGGCATGTGTACATGTGTGCCCAAAATCCCGAGAGAAGAATCGAGGAGAAGGAGTTGCGGTGTGGCCATACTTCTGGGGGGTGATTTCTTGCTTTCTGTCTCTCTCTCTCTCTCTCTGGTGAGCGCACATGCCCTATAACAAAATCTCTCTTAAAATCAAAAGTGACTGGACTAAATAGTGCCACGGCATTGTCTGGCTGAGAGTGATCTTAGCACAGAGTCAGTCAAATGATCCACAGAAGCTAACTGAGCATCCACTGTGTGCCTGGCACTGTGCAAAGGATGATGGAAAACAAGAGAGGGTTCCTGTTCTCATGGAGAGAGGCTCGTACCCTCTGTGTCCCAACTCAGTCTGAGCCGAAAACTACACCTAGAACTTGTAGTCCATCCAGAGGCTTTGAAGGCAGCAGCCATTGCTACACCCCACTGCCCATGGACTGTTTATACCAAGTTCAACTGCAAAGGATTGGACCCGATGAATTTTTTTTTAAAGGTCCATTTTTTGAAGAATTATTTTATTTTATTTTATTTATTCATTCATTACTTTTAATTTTACCAGAGAGAGACATGGAGAGAGCAATAGAGGGAAAGTAAGAAAGTAAGCCACCAGGTCTGAGACTTAAACCACAGTCGGGCATGTGGGAGTGCCCAGTGCCTTAACCGCCATGCTACCTGCTGGTCCCAGGACCCGATGAATTTTTTTTTTTTTTTTTGAGAGAGAGAGATTTTCGCTATAGGGCGCGTGCGCTCGCCAGACAGACAGAGAGAGACAGAGAGACAGAAAGCGAGAAATCACCCCCCAGGGGGGATGGTCACGCCGCAATCCCTTCTCCTCCATTCTCCTCTCGGGATCATGGGCACGCACGCACACGTGCCCGGCGTGAGTTTTAAGCCACCGGGTCCGGGACGCGAACCGCGGTCGACTACGTGGGAGTCCAGCGACATAGCCATTACGCTAACTGCTGGTTCCCCCGATGAATTTTTTAAACAGACTTCTTCTTTTTAAGAATTATTTTATTGGGGACCAGTAGGTGGCATGGTGGTTAAGGTGCTGGATCCTCCCACATGGCCGCCCGTGGTTCAAGTCCCGGACCTGGTAGCTTGCTTTCTCACTTTCTCTTTCTCTCTGGTCAAATTAAAATAAGTAAGTAAATAAATAAATAAATGAAAGCAAATAAATAAAATAAGTAAGTAAATAAATAAAACAAGTGAGTAAGTAAGTAAATAAGTAAATTTACTTATTTATTTTAATTTGACCAGAGAGAGAGAGAGAAAGTGAGAAAGCAAGCCACCAGGTCCGGGACTTGAACCATGGTCGGCCATATGGAGCCCAGTGCCCTTAACCACCATGACACCCACCGGCCCCATGACCTGATGAATTTGTACAGGACCCAAGTGGATCATGCAAGGCCACCTGTAGGATCTCTGTGTAAGTTTCCCTGCTTCCTTCCTCCTGCTGTCCCAGGAACCCTGCAGACCCCAAAGTCTAAATCCCCCCCTGTTGGGCTCTGCTGTCTGGCAGCCTCTTGGACTTGATGTTACAGACCACTCTTGACCCCAGCCCACCTTTCTCTGGGGTGTGAGCCTGGCTCTCCTCAGCCTTCTCTGTCCATTCTCCTCATCCAGAGAAGCGTTGATGCTATTGGTAAAGCAGAAGGGAAGGTGTCCTCTCTGGATAGCTCAGGACCTCTTCCATCTCCACCTTCTGGGACCAATTCGCTGGGACTCGTCAGTACTAAAGTCAGCCTACTGAAGGTGTGCTCCTTTGTCACACGTAGGAAGGTAAGGTGTGGGAGACAGCCTTGCAGAGCAGGCCCTGGCAGCCACCAGTTCTCTCTGGGGCTCTTTGGCCTGGGCTCTACCTCCCTGTCACCCAGCACCTTGTCTGACCTCTGAACTCAGAAGTCAGGTTATACCTGGATGACCCTCCTGGCCTAAACCCCTAGCCTGACAATTCATGAAGGACTGACCCTGGGGTTAAGCTCCCACTTCCCGTCATGCATATGTGCCCTCTGGGACGGTGGGCATGCTCACCAGACAGCAGCCACTGCAGCCTCTGGACGTAGCGCCTCATCACCTTCTCCAAGCACGCAATGTACACTTCCACTTCCCTGAGCGTCCACTGAAGGTGTCTCACCACTCCCTGCATTAAGGCAAGTGAAGGCAGACCCCCCCCACCCCCCAGCAGCTTTTCTTCACAGCCCCGTCATCTCTAACATAGCTTATTCCAGTGCGGTCATCTGTCCCCAGACGTCTGCTAAGTAAACATTTCTGTTTAAGAACTTCCCTCTCTTTTATTAAACGACTGCACATATGGTTGTATAAAGAAGTGGGAGAATTAGGGTGATGGTTTTACAGCAAGTGCAGTCACCGTAATAATAGAAGACATATCTCCACATTTACAAATAGAAAATCCTTCTGGCGGGGTGGAAGGCACATACATTCTAAGTGGAAAAATGACCTTGGATGGAGAAGTGGGCAGCAAGCTAAACGACCTAAAGTCTTCTAGTGGATAATTTTTGAATTTCACAACTATTTTTAGTTTTTCCTAATTTTGACAACATAGTATAAAAGAGCAAGAGAGAAATGACTAGATCTTTGTTTTGTACGAAAGTTACTTGTTCCAATGTCAAAGAAAGGAAAAAAATTACTCCAAACCAGAAAATAGAGAAGAGATCGAACCCACTTCCATCTCACAGCCCCTATTCACAGCCGTCCTAACAGAACCATCATCACTATTGGGGCAACGAGTTCTCAGTGGCCACAGCCACAGCCCTGTGTCCTCGGAGTTGTTTCTAATTCTCACTCCAGGGAGCCAATCTCCAGCCCTTAGGGGCTGACTTTTCTCCCAGCAGGATTCTGTATCTCCCAGGGCAGCCCTACTGCTGGGGGTCGGGTTCTTACAGGGAGGAGTAGAAGCCATGGTGCTGTTTGTAATTGAAAAGAAGCAAGAGTTGGGGGAGAAAAACAGCAATAATAAAAATCATTGCTATGGGCCAGAAGGTGGTGTGGTGATTAAGGCACTGGATTCCCACATGGCCAACCATGGTTCAAGTTCCAGATCCGGTATCTTAAAAATCATGCCAGGTGGGACCAGCAGATGGTGTAATGGTTACATTGCTGGACTCCCACGTAGTCGACTGTGGTTCAAGTCCCAGACCTAGTGATCTAAAAGTCAAACCGGGCACGTGTACTTGTATACCCAAAATCCTGAGAGGAGAATGGAGGAGAAGGGACTCCAACGTGACTATCCTCCTGGGAGGGGGGATTTCTTGCTTTCTATCTCTCTCTCTCTAGCGAGCCCATGCTCCCTATAGCAAAAATCTGTCATGAAACAAGCAAACAATGAGGCCAGCAGCTGTTGTGTTGGATAAGGGCACTGGACCCCCATGGCTGACTGCGGTTCGAGTCCTGGACCTAGCAGCTTGCTTTCTCACTTTCCCTCTCTCTCTCTCTCACTCTGTCCCTCTCTGGTCAAATTAAAATAAATAAATAAAGTTAAATAAAATAATTCTTACAAACAAACAAATCATGCCAGGCATACGTGTGTACATGCCCAAAATCCAGAGAAGAGAGGAGAGGACAAGGGTTTGCTGTGCGATCATTCCCTCTGAGGGAGGTGATTTCTCACTTTCCCTGTCTCTGTCCCTCTCTGGTGAGTACATGTGCTCTATGGCAAAAAACATTAAAAAAAAAGGTCACTTACATTGATCTCTATGCTGGGGAAGACGCTGCAGTATTTGGCCGACGTTGGCCTCTGCGCTGATTTTTGATGAGCACAGCGGGGACCGACGCATCTGGAGAGCTCCATCTTCAGCTTTTTTAGTCCATACTTTGCTACCCACTTTTGGATAAAGGGAAGCATTATTACCTCAGGTGATTCCTTCTGGGTCCTTACTGAGTCCCCCTTGCATACTGGTTCCCACCCAGCCCTGGGAGGAAGACACACAAGACATATGGGAAACGGAACAAAATTGAACAAAATGGAGCTTCCCCTTGTTCCTCATCTAGTGGACATCGCTGCCTCCTCAGCATCCCATTTCGACGTTCTCCCACCACTTTTGGGTGGAAAGTCCTACCTGGCCTAAAGTTTAGACTCTAAAACAATTAGGATGATCTCAGTCTCTTTGTCCCCATGAGAGACACCAGAATGGGCAGGCCCAAAGCAGTCGGAGCATGGCGTCCAGGACTGGGCCAATCAGAACCAATCTCAGACTTGGACCAAATGGTTGTGGAAGATAAAGGGGAAGATGAAACAAAAGCTGTTTTATCTTCTGGATGTGAACAAGAAGAGGACTTTCTGTTGCTTGCAACCTAAAGGATCTGATACCGCTAAGTACTCCCATGAAATGTACTTGAATCGATTCTCACATGGATCTAACTAGACGGCTACAACTGTCTTCATTTTATAAACAAAGACATGGAGATGGAGGGGAGCTATCTGACTTGCCCACAGTTGCCCATTTAGGAGAGAACAGGCCCAGATTTTTAACTTAGGTCTGTGGATCGCTGTCCCATCCACCACAGTAAGCAGTCATCCTTAGCTGGTTTGTCTTCATTTCCAAGCACACCCACCCTCTTAGAAGTAATTGTTGGTAGAAGGAATTACTGGCTCTGGGACATGAGCTCATGTAGACAACCTAATACCTCTTGGCTTGAGCAAACTGTATCCTTTCTGGGTAAGTCGATTGAAGAGTTAGTCCTTCTTACACTCCTTCTTAGAGGGTACTTTTTATACACGGAACCTAGAAAAAAAACGAAAAAAACAGAGAAAACTCACCTTGTGTACTTTTCTTTCCGCTCTCCCTTTTTTATGTCAATTTCTGTCAAGCAAGTGTTGGAAAATTCCTCAGGTGCAATTTGCCGAGAGGTAGAATGGAAGGTTGAAGGGGAAGGTTGCTGCGGCTTCCCACAGGGCAATGAACTGTCTCCTGGATCTTTACGATTTCACAGTGATCAATTAGCCTGGGAACTAACGGTAGTGCCCCTAGCGAGTGGATCCTGAGTGTCCAAGGACCTTGGAAAGCTCTTCTTCAATACAGACTTTTCAGGACCAGCAGAAGGCATAATGGTACGTCACTGGACTCCCACATGGCTGACCACTATTCGAGTCCCAGATTCAGAGGCTTGAAACTCATGCCAGACATGTGTACATGTGTGCCCAAGATCCCAGGAGTAAAGTGGAGAAGAAGGAATTGCGGTGTGGCCACCCCCCTGGGGGCGATTTCTCACTTTCTGTCTCTGTATCTGTCTCTCAGGCAAGTGTATGTGCCTGATAGCAAAAATCTCTCTTTAAAAAAAAAAAAAAGACTTTTCTCATCCTTTGGCCAGTGTCAAAACTTTGTATGTTCATTTCCCTGGGCCAGGAGAACTGAGTTGTTTGGGATAGGCCTAGAGACACAGCTGCCCAAGTCCTGGGGTAGCTGGAGGGGTGTCCTCCCATGGGACCTGCTGCCCCTATGGTCCTCCCAATACCAAGGGGCTGCCCAGACGTTGTGGGGGTTCCGACTTACCCACGTTGTTCCCCGTCTCCATATAGAACAGTGAGAGGGATGTTTCTGCTTCTCTTGACTTGGTCTTCCTCCTCCGTTCTGCCGTCCCTTCTTTCCCTGGCTGGGCTGCAACTAGGAGACATTTGGCTTGTGGACTGGATCACCCTTGGGGGTTCATGTGATGAAACTGTCCAGCCTGGCTTAGCGACCTCTCAATTTCTGCTATATACTGCCCCTGGAAATGGGGCTCTGGGACAGCTTTGAGGTCCCCTGGCCTCACCTGGGTCAGTACTAGCTAGAGCTACCGTGGCTAAGTCCTGGTATGTACCAGCACGGTGCTGAGTACTGGGTGTCACACTCTGTCTTGCTTCTCCTCTCAGCCCCCAGTTTATGCTGAGCCAGTGGGACTCAGAGCTAGCAAGATGCACAGCATGAGTCCACCTGGTCGTTCCTGACTCTAGAACTCTGCATTGGGCAGAACTCTGCTTTATTTTTGACATGAAAAATAAGACACAAGGGGCTGCAAGGTCCCAGAATGGTAGCTGTAAAACATGATGCTCTGCGAGGCAGACCCACTGGAAAGGTTCCTGGTTCAAGTCCAGAGACCTCCCTGAGTATGCCAGGTACATGGGTCCCCATGATCTGGGTCTGGCTGAGGCTAGGGGTGGATGGTGGCATCAAGACCCTTTTGGGGGTGCTGCATTTCTCTCTCTCACTCTGTCTCTTTTACTCATGAAATAAATAGAACTTTTTACAGGAAGAAATAAGATACATGAACCGAGTACTTCATCCCACTAGGGATGGCCTGTCATGGCCAGCGGCTACATGGCCCTCGGCCCCTCTGAGCCTGAATTTCTCTGTTGCTAAAACAGGGAGCTGCCTGCTGTACAGGACTGATTGCTACAGACAGACAATGGGACAGTCTTGGCAGACAGGAGGGCACACAGTCAGGACTTACAATAGTCGGTCATTTGGCTCCTGCCATTACTGAATCCTTACTCCTGCTGTGCCCGAGCCATCCCTCTGCCCAGTGTGACCACGGCCATGCCTCACCTGGTGAGATGCCCGCTCTGCCACTGGGTGGATACCATTTCAGAGATTTCAAGGGGGGGCTCTTCTCTCTGTCAGGGTCACCTGGAATGTTCTAGAAAACACACCATCTTTCCTGTCAGAGGCCTGTTCTCCATGGGGATGGTATCCCAGTCACCCTAACCTCATTCTGTCAATCAAAAACTTTTGTAGGTAGGGGCCTGCAGGAGTAGACTCCTTGGAGGTGTCTGGCCCACCTCCTCAGCAGGTTCAGAGGGATACCTGGGTTTGGAGGCGAAAAGCATGTGTGTGGATATGCACACATGTATGTGCCTCTCTGTGGTATGAGAGAGCGTGTGTGTGCTAGCATGGCTGTGGGGATCTGCCAGAACATTCTTTGCCCATGACCTGCTCTTTTCCTCCTGGACTGGATTTCTGGCCTCCAGCAGGACAAGCAGCCACTCAGGTAAGCTCTGTGCCCTACTGAGCACCGCCGATCGTGGGGAGGAGTTCCTTCATTACTGGGTACAGCCAGAATGTGGCCATAGTTAAATGACATTACCCAGAGCCCAGGCCAGCTAAGGGCGCTTGAGTGAAGAAGGCTGGTGCTCCACTCTGGAGAACCCCCGGCCTGGGTTCAGGAAGACCCTCCAGAGGTCATGGAGCAGCATAAGCCTCCTCCTCTGGTCAGCTCAGGAAACACTGATGGCCCAAGAGACCAAGCCCGAGATTTGGGTTCGGACAGGCAGGAGAGGCTCATGTGCCTAGGCTGGCTCCCAAAAGCTGGCTGAGTCCTTTGAATGAAAGGGTGCCCAAATGCCTAGAGTCTCCTGGAAAGGCAGCGCTCTGGCTGGGACGAAGCTGCTGCCTGGGATCGATTTCCTCATTCTGAAAACGTGCTGTGTGCACAAGGGTCCACCAGCCGTGAATGCCAGGCTCTCAGCATCACTGTCCCTTCCACAGGCAGCTTGAATCAGGGGTCTTCCCTCTGGAGGCCCCTCCTGATTGCTGGGCTGGGGTGGGTGTTTTATGCAGGTCAGAATGGGCAGGCTCTGCCCCTAGCAGACACAGGCCCACCTTCCAGCTCCTCTCAGGCTTTGCTAAGCCTTGGGCAGAAACAGCAAGAGTGGGTTAGAGACACTAATTCCTTTGCTCCCGAGAGACCCTTCAGGATCAGCCACCTAATGATAGATGCCAGCCCACAGCGTCCTTAGTGCCAGGCTAGGAAACGGAGCTGGGACAGGCAGTCTGAGCCAAATGGGTAGGGGAGGCTACAGGTACCCCTAGGGCTGAGAGGCAGGCCCCCGAGGGAGTTTGCCCACGTTGTTCCCCGTCTCCATATAGAACAGTGAGAGGGATGTTTCTGCTTCTCTTGACTTGGTCTTCCTCCTCCGTTCTGCCGTCCCTTCTTTCCCTGGCTGGGCTGCAACTAGGAGACATTTGGCTTGTGGACTGGATCACCCTTGGGGGTTCATGTGATGAAACTGTCCAGCCTGGCTTAGCGACCTCTCAATTTCTGCTATATACTGCCCCTGGAAATGGGGCTCTGGGACAGCTTTGAGGTCCCCTGGCCTCACCTGGGTCAGTACTAGCTAGAGCTACCGTGGCTAAGTCCTGGTATGTACCAGCACGGTGCTGAGTACTGGGTGTCACACTCTGTCTTGCTTCTCCTCTCAGCCCCCAGTTTATGCTGAGCCAGTGGGACTCAGAGCTAGCAAGATGCACAGCATGAGTCCACCTGGTCGTTCCTGACTCTAGAACTCTGCATTGGGCAGAACTCTGCTTTATTTTTGACATGAAAAATAAGACACAAGGGGCTGCAAGGTCCCAGAATGGTAGCTGTAAAACATGATGCTCTGCGAGGCAGACCCACTGGAAAGGTTCCTGGTTCAAGTCCAGAGACCTCCCTGAGTATGCCAGGTACATGGGTCCCCATGATCTGGGTCTGGCTGAGGCTAGGGGTGGATGGTGGCATCAAGACCCTTTTGGGGGTGCTGCATTTCTCTCTCTCACTCTGTCTCTTTTACTCATGAAATAAATAGAACTTTTTACAGGAAGAAATAAGATACATGAACCGAGTACTTCATCCCACTAGGGATGGCCTGTCATGGCCAGCGGCTACATGGCCCTCGGCCCCTCTGAGCCTGAATTTCTCTGTTGCTAAAACAGGGAGCTGCCTGCTGTACAGGACTGATTGCTACAGACAGACAATGGGACAGTCTTGGCAGACAGGAGGGCACACAGTCAGGACTTACAATAGTCGGTCATTTGGCTCCTGCCATTACTGAATCCTTACTCCTGCTGTGCCCGAGCCATCCCTCTGCCCAGTGTGACCACGGCCATGCCTCACCTGGTGAGATGCCCGCTCTGCCACTGGGTGGATACCATTTCAGAGATTTCAAGGGGGGGCTCTTCTCTCTGTCAGGGTCACCTGGAATGTTCTAGAAAACACACCATCTTTCCTGTCAGAGGCCTGTTCTCCATGGGGATGGTATCCCAGTCACCCTAACCTCATTCTGTCAATCAAAAACTTTTGTAGGTAGGGGCCTGCAGGAGTAGACTCCTTGGAGGTGTCTGGCCCACCTCCTCAGCAGGTTCAGAGGGATACCTGGGTTTGGAGGCGAAAAGCATGTGTGTGGATATGCACACATGTATGTGCCTCTCTGTGGTATGAGAGAGCGTGTGTGTGCTAGCATGGCTGTGGGGATCTGCCAGAACATTCTTTGCCCATGACCTGCTCTTTTCCTCCTGGACTGGATTTCTGGCCTCCAGCAGGACAAGCAGCCACTCAGGTAAGCTCTGTGCCCTACTGAGCACCGCCGATCGTGGGGAGGAGTTCCTTCATTACTGGGTACAGCCAGAATGTGGCCATAGTTAAATGACATTACCCAGAGCCCAGGCCAGCTAAGGGCGCTTGAGTGAAGAAGGCTGGTGCTCCACTCTGGAGAACCCCCGGCCTGGGTTCAGGAAGACCCTCCAGAGGTCATGGAGCAGCATAAGCCTCCTCCTCTGGTCAGCTCAGGAAACACTGATGGCCCAAGAGACCAAGCCCGAGATTTGGGTTCGGACAGGCAGGAGAGGCTCATGTGCCTAGGCTGGCTCCCAAAAGCTGGCTGAGTCCTTTGAATGAAAGGGTGCCCAAATGCCTAGAGTCTCCTGGAAAGGCAGCGCTCTGGCTGGGACGAAGCTGCTGCCTGGGATCGATTTCCTCATTCTGAAAACGTGCTGTGTGCACAAGGGTCCACCAGCCGTGAATGCCAGGCTCTCAGCATCACTGTCCCTTCCACAGGCAGCTTGAATCAGGGGTCTTCCCTCTGGAGGCCCCTCCTGATTGCTGGGCTGGGGTGGGTGTTTTATGCAGGTCAGAATGGGCAGGCTCTGCCCCTAGCAGACACAGGCCCACCTTCCAGCTCCTCTCAGGCTTTGCTAAGCCTTGGGCAGAAACAGCAAGAGTGGGTTAGAGACACTAATTCCTTTGCTCCCGAGAGACCCTTCAGGATCAGCCACCTAATGATAGATGCCAGCCCACAGCGTCCTTAGTGCCAGGCTAGGAAACGGAGCTGGGACAGGCAGTCTGAGCCAAATGGGTAGGGGAGGCTACAGGTACCCCTAGGGCTGAGAGGCAGGCCCCCGAGGGGGTTTCTCTCCCTGGAGGCCAGGATTAGAGGCACCCCATGGCACACTCACCACTGGAGACCCTGCCCCACTCCTGTTGGCCCCAGGGCCTTGGGGCCTGGACCCAGACATTCTAAGACCTAGGAAAGACCAAGAGACAAACTGGAAACAAACTCCTCTGTGTGTTATCAGGGAGGGGAGTCAAACCATTCTGGCCGCGGAGGGGCCTGCGGGCTTGGGTGGACAGAGTTTCTGGGACTGACTTCTTTGCTTGAGCATCTTCAGCTCTCCTTTCGGAACGGCTGCACTTTCCAGTTTTTTTCCTGAATGGTTCTTCAGGGAGGCCACTAGCAAGGCACACTGCAACGAGGAATGGGAGGGTTAGAGATGCCCCCAGCCACTGTGGGCAGACAGACACGCATACACACACGGAGGGAGAGACTGCGTCCACTTGAGTCCTGATGTCCTCCAGACTTCTTTCTGTCCCTAGACTGCTGCCTGGGCTGAAAGTACTGTGGATCACCAAGTATAAGTACCCATACATGAATAGGTCTAAGTACCATGCATAAGTACCACGTGGGGAGGGCCTGGAATGCACCAGACACTGGGCTAGTTAATGCCCAGGGGTCTCAAACCCTCATGCCAACTATGCTGGTCAGGTAGGTGCTATCTTATCCCCATTTTACAGATGAGGAAAACAAATCCCTGTAAATTTCAGGTGCTTGCCCAGGGTCACATTACTCTAATGTGGAGGAGTTTCAATTTAAACCCAGAAGGGCCTGATTCCAAAGCTGGTGTCTTTTCCAACCTAAGGCCCTAAGGCGTCTACACATGCGGTCAGCTCACCGCAGGCCCAGGGCTGACTTCAGGTACTGGCAGAATACTCCTGTAATATAGTTGGGCCTCTATATCCACGGGTTCTGCATCGTGGACTCAACCAATTGTGGACTAAATGTATTTGAAAACAAAATGATTGCATTTGTATTGAACATGTATAGAGTTTTATTTTTTTTCCCTGTCATTCTTCCCTAAACAATACAGAATAACAACCATTTACAGAGCATTTCCATTGTGTCAGGTATTACAAGTAATCTAGGGATGATTTCAAGTATATGGGAGGATGAGGGTAGGTTATATGAAAATACTACACCATTTTATAGAAGGGACTTGAGCATCCTTGGATTTAGGTATTGGAGGGAGATGGTGTCCTGGAACCAATTCCCCCAGTCCCGCATACCAAGAGTTGACTCCAAGGGTTGCCTGTACTTAGTTCCTTTCACTCTTTTTGCCTATAAATTTCTCACCTATTTGAAAGACTCTCCATTATCGAGTGTCCATTAAAGCTCTAGAAGAGGGCTGGTTCTGTGGCCTGGTGAGTAAGAGAGCCAGATCCCACATAGCGAAACATGTGGTTTAAATCCCAGCCGTGGTGGCTTGAAAACATTCCAGGTATGTGTATGCACATGCACGCCCCAAACCCTGAAAGGAGGGAGAAATGGAGAAGGGATTGTGGCATGACTACACCTTATTGGGGGGAGTGCTTTCTTCTTCTCCTTCTCTCTGTCTCTTTCTCTCTCTCTGAGGAGCACATGCACCCTCTAGGAAATTAAAACAATTTTTTTTTTTATTTTTGGAGAGGTTTTTGCTATAGGGCGCGTGCGCTCGCCAGACAGACAGAGAGAGACAGAGAGACAGAAAGTGAGAAATCACCCCCCAGGAGGGATGGTCATGCCCAATCCCTTCTCCTCCAGTCTCCTCTCGGGATCTTGGGCACACACACACACACGCCTGGCATGAGTTTTAAGCTACCGGGTCCAGGACGTGAACCATGTTCGACTACGTGGGAACCCAGTGACATAGCCATTACGTTAACTACTGATCCCAAAACAATTTTTTTTCTTAAAAGAATGTAAATTAAGGTGAAGTCCTCCTGGATCATCGTGGGCTTTCAATCCCATATGTCTGGTGTTCTTGTGAGAGGAGAAGAACAGACATACAGACGAGAGAGCCTTGAAGATGGAGGCAGAGGTTGGAATTATTCTGCATAAGCCACGGATGCCAGAGGTGAGCAGTGACAAGGACTCCCTCCTTGACCAAACTTGAGTCAGACTCCTCTGAACCATCTTCTCAATAAAAAAAATGAACCCAGTTTGAGCAAAGAGCCCTGCTAAGTCCGTGCAGTGGGAACTATCCCAACGGGGATACCCAATCACGTTCTTCATCCCTAACCTTGATATCTAAGTCTTTGGCTTGCCTTTAGCAAGATTCCTGCTTAGCAAGAATCCCCCCACCCTTCATATCTAACTCCTCCTAGTAATTTCCATCCACTGACTCTGTCTTGGCTGTTATTCAGAGTTCAGCCTCCTGCTATGGCAACAGTCTTTAATAAAGTCGTCCCCACCATTTTTAACAAGTGACCAGTGAAATTAGTTTTAAACACCTGTCACCACCAGAAGCTAGAAAAAGGCAAGGAAGGATTCTACCCAGAACCTTAGGAGGGAGCATGGTCCTGGTGACACCTTAATTTCAGACTCCCAGCCTCTGGACACATGAAGCATGCCTGTCTTCTGTTTTAAGCCACCCAGTCTGTGACACTATGGCGGCCCTAGAAAATGAACATAGAAGCCAGTGCAGTGATTGGCCCATGCCCACGGTTTACCTTTTGGGAGTAGTTGAGAGCCTTTTCCATTTCAGACACAATGTAATTGATGTCATCACTCTCATAGATGCCTGGAAACAAGGCACATTGTAAGTGTGAGGATCCTGCCACATGTCAGATTGGGATGCACAAGAACCATGTTGAGGTACCTCAAGCCTAAGGGGCAGGGTGGAACTGTAATGGGCTGAGCAGACCAGCCCAAGTGGTAAAGAGGACGGCTAGGTACAGTGTAGCTACCATCAGTGGGGTTAGCTGGGACCCAGGGCCCTAGCACCCATTCAAGAGTGCTCATCCACAAGAGTGGTTCGGTGCAAAGGCCCTGCTATCCCAGACAATAAAAAGACCCATCCTGGGAGCCAGCAGGTGGCATGGTGGTTAAGGTGCTGGATTCTCACATGGCCAACTACGGTTTGAGACTCAGATCTTGCACCTTGAAAATCACACCGAGTGCATGTGCATGAATGCCCAAAGTCCTGAGAGGAGAAGGGGCTGCAGCATGGCCAACTTCTCTTGGGGATGATTTCTCACTGTCTCTAGCTTTCTAGTGAGCGCATGCACCCTAAGCAAAAACAAAAACAAAAACAAACAAACAAACAAATCCAACCTGGGATTATTTGCAGTGATTAATACCTTTCATGAGGATTACATCATATTTGAGACAGACTAGAGTATAATGGTTAAGACAATAGACCCTGAAGCTGGCCTGCCTGGGTTCAACTCCTAGTCCTGCCACATAACCACCTGTGTTTTGGGGCTCAGTCTTCCCATGTGTAAAATGGAAATAATCATTGCCCACATCATAGGGTTATTGTGAGAAGTGACTCACAATATTTGTAAAATGCTTGGAGCCGTGCCTGGCAAATGTACAATAGATATGCAATACACGTTTGCTATGATTAGTGATCAGCACCAATAGCAGTGCAAACATACATGCTCAGTACTTTTCATGAAAGAAAGAGCTGGGAAACAGGGCCCCAGACTTCCAGCCCCAGTTCCGCCACTAACTTTGTAACCACAGGTATGTCCCATCCCTGGGAGGCATTAATCTGTGACTTGGGGAGAGAAGGCTTTGGAGTGTCCCAGCCCTGACTGCTCCCCTGTCACTGTCACAGCTTCTGCTTTCTCTGCATGCCACCTAAGCCATTATTTCTTTTATATATCTATGAGGGTCTTCAAAACATTCGTGGACATGTGTATTATGAAAAATCTAGGCTTGGGTCCACCAGGTGGTATGGTGGTTAAGGTGCTGGACACTCCCACATGGCCAACCATGGTTTGAATCCCGGACCTGGTGGCTTACTTTCTCACCTTCTCTCTCTCTCTGTCTCTCTCTGGTCCAATTAAAAAAAAAAAAGGAACGAATAAATAAAATTAAATAAATAATTCTTTTAAAAAATAAACTGAAAAAACTAGGCTTGAATTCCAATTTTTTTGCACCCAAATAAACTTGTACTTTAATTCCATTTTCCATAAACATTTTGAAGTTCTCTTGTATTTGAATCCATTCTTTTTTTATTAAAAAAAATACATTTTGAAAAGAAAAGATATACCATTGTTGATAATGCAAAACCAGTATTTTTCTAAGTTAAAATAAGGCCCAGCCACTGTGGTGCAGCCAATAGTGGGCAGGCTGCAGAGCTGGAAGCCACGTGGTAACTATGGGTCGAGTCCCCACCTGGGCTAGCCTGAAATCCTATAAGACATGTGGAGAGCTGGAGCACTGGAGGAACAGGACGGCAGCTTGACCAGACCCTGCACAGGGTACTTTTCCTTCACCCTCTCGTGAGCAAACATGCATGTGCTCTACCATGGACAGAAAAGAAGAAAGCTATCCCAATAATTATTTTTTTTTAGAGATAAGTTTCACTGTGTTCTCTAGTCTGGCTCTGAACTCACGGTCCTCCTGCCTCAGCGTCCTGTGTCCTGGGATCACAGGCACACGCCGCCACACCTGGCTCTCATAAAATGATTTTGTTCTCTGTACCACTGTTAGCTATCCCGCCAGCCAACTGTCCTGAACATACTATTCCTTGGGAAGAATGCTATGTCAACCTTTAAGGGATGTTTAGGGTACTTCTCAGCTCTGATATCCTAAAATATTTTTAAAGTTTTACTTTTTTTTTTTTTTTAAAAAAAAAAAAAAAGCTTTTGAGCGGGCAGGTGGGGTGGGGGTTAATGCA